TGGCATGCCACATGGCGCTGTTTGTGTCCATGACAGACCACTGACAACAGTGGTCGCCATGGGCTGCTCCATGCAGCCCAAGTGTGCAGTAGGCTAGATCTTCCAGGTGTGTGTGTGTCCACTCTATGACCTTCACACAATGACAAAATTGCCTATGACGTATTTCTCAAAACATGGCCCAGAGGCTTATGATGCTCTTATTTACCCAAGACATAGTCTCCACCCAACAGTCCACTGGCATGACTTCTAGAAATATAGATAAATAGAAATGTTGCTATACAAGATTTTTTAAAAGGAAACTTGCATGCACAAAAATAGGAAAAATGAGCTAGCAAGATTAAACTTGTAAAGAGTATTCAGTGGCATGGAAAAATGCTTTAAAAATTATGTTAAGTGTAGGTTAAGTCAAACAAATATCAATAGATCTGACCTAGAATTACAGGTGAAAATGACAGCATTAAAATTTAATTTAGAACCTTTATTACATCATATAGACAATGAACAAATTACATGCAGAGCCAGCTTTTAAAAAGGCTATCAAATTGGAGGATAGTGTGACAAGATTTCTCTACAAACAGCTCTAAGTCATTGGGAATGATTAAACCGCATCCCCTCTCTCTTTAACTTTTTATTTGTATTGTTTATATTTTATATAAATATAACATTGTTACTTTTGTCGTTCTCCTTTGGGTCTCATTTTCCATTCCCCCAGCACCCCTGCACAATTGCAAAATGAGGTGCTTGGGTTACTTTAAATGATAGAAGGAGCATTGAGTTGGTTATGGGGAAATGGAATTCCTGAATCTGCCATCAGGCTAAGCTAAAATATTTCATCTCTTTTGTGCTTAGACTTTAAAGAAAAAGTCTTAATAGATGCTTTGTAAAGCCCCTCACCTTTTTAACATCCAGTAATTCTTTCTTTATTAGAAAGACACAGACATTGGCTCCCCAGACCAAAAAAAAAAAAAAATTATGTTAAGTGGAAGAGACATATTAGATATTGTATATGTGTCCACAATGACATAAAAAACATGTCTAGAAAAGTGAATGAAAACACCATACCTAAATATTGGTAATGCTTCTTGTCATTAGCAAAATTATATTTTCTTCTCTTTCTCTATAAATGGCAATTGGCGTGGAATTCTTTTGCATAGTGGAAAAGGAGACAGGCTAGGATAGGGGAAGAGAAGACATTCCCCACCTCTTTCCAGAGGCACTTCCAAGGGGTGTGGGTGCATTCACATATAGGGATGACTCTGAATTGGGAAGGGAGGTTTACAGGAAGAGCTGAATTGCATTTTCATTTCCTTTTCCTTTCCTCTGCTTTAGAAACAGAGTTCCTTGGCTACAGGCTTTGATGAAATTATTTCCTTTGCCTCTGCTTGGCATGTTCCCTTGATGGTTTGAATCCGGGTATAGATGGCACTAGGACATCACCATTCCAGATCAAGATGCCACATGAAGGTGGAGCCTTTATGTGAATGGGTCGCAGTTCATTGTATGACCCCCAAGGTTTCTCCTTTGCCACCCTCACTTCTCCTTCCCCCACCAGACCACACCTTAATAAGCCCCCATCCAGACAGGTTCCCCTCCAACCCCATGCTAACCCACCATGGCTCCCTAAATTCCCCACATTTTTCCATCTTCCTTTTAGTTAGGCCAGAATTTTCCAAAGCAACATAGAATTTTTTAAAAAACCAATAAGCATTCAAAGAGAAAGGGTATCTTAAAATAAAATATAATGATCTCAAACCCATGATTATGAGTCAAGGCTAAAGTAAGTTTTCAAGTTACAACAAAACATAGATCAAATTAAATAAAATATTTCAATAAATACATTGTTTGCTAAGTGTGTTTATCTTGGTGTGGTATTTCACTCTCCTGGCTGGGGCAAACAACTGGATTTAGGAAGCTCTACATTTGAGTGTTAATTTCTTTTAATGCTTTAGTACAGAACTGGGAGAGATCATTCATTACCACCCTTGTGATTCCTACCCTGAGAGATAGCTGGGGCAGAGGAACCTGGAGAGATGGAGCCCCCATGAATGTGGGGGCACTGAGAGGCCCCTGAACAGCAGCCCACCCTTTGTGTGCTATTTCTCTGGGGGAATTATAGGGGGCTCTATCCCGATCACCTTCCTGACCCCATCTGAAAGCTCCTTCGATGGGCAGCCACGGCTTGGCGTTATCCACTCTCCCGGGAGAAGGGTGAGTCTGCAGCCACCATCCCCAGCATTCACCAAGCACCAGGAGCAAATCTATAAACAGAGAGAGATAAACACCAGATGAGTTCACTCAGATGTGGAATAGAGAGAAACAAAACAAACAAGTCAAGTAAATAAACCAAAAATACACTTTTAGATTGTAAGACCCAAGTGGTTACCGGAAGGGAAGAGGAAAGAGGGTGGGTAAATCAGATGAAAGTGGATACTTGTCTATGGTAGAGGACTGAGTTGGGCTTTTGGTGGAGAACTTCATCAACATACAGATGTTGATTTAGAGTGACGCACACCCAAACACACGAAACACAGTGTTACTGCAATGGAAAATTATTTTAAAAATAAATAACAGACTGCATTATTTAAGTAACTTGCTGACTGTACTTAGTCCAATACTAGAGAAATATAAGTCACCTTATTTTCATTTGCTGAGGTAGGAGATGACTAGTTAGGATCTCCCCACCACCACCACCCACACCACACCACAGCACCCCACCCCCACTCCCTCAAGAAGGGAAAAGAGCAGAGAGGGAAGGAGAGGAGTGAAAATGAAAGATGACCAAGTTCAACATTCCTGCTCTTAAGTTTGAGTGTTCTGGGCACTTGGTGTTTTTTCTGGGCAGCCTAAAGTGAAGGTGCCTCCTAGTGAGTTGCGAGGGAGTGGAGTAGGGTGGGTGCAGGCTAGAAGGTTCCTAGATGCAGAATTCAGGGATTAGCAAAGCAACAGGCATCTTCTGTAGGGAACACTGCAGCCTCCCATCCTTACCTCCCCTGGGTCAGGGTCCATCTTGCCTGTTTCTGCTGAGCCCAGCCTTCCTCTGGGTCCCACTTCATGACTCAGGCCCTTTGGGGAGGGGCGGAGGACTTGGCAGGTCTGGTCCACAGCAACTGCCACCTTGCCGGGTGTTAGCAGGACAGCAGGTGGGTCCAGAGGGAAGGCGCAGTTCGGCTATGTTGGCATCTGGCAGCATCACGCTGCAGCTTCCATGATATAAATACAGGGAGCGAAAATAGCTAATCCCAGATAACAGCAGTGTAATCACCCAGCGCCCGGCCTGGAATCCTGCAGAATTTGGAGGGAGCAGCTGCCGGGACTGCCCCCATCAGCAGTCTGCTGCCCCTGGGTGGCCAGGGCTGGGATTCTAAGCCTGAGCAAAGCTGGGGGAGAGAAGAGCAACTGGAAAAAGAGACCTGATGAAAAACACCTCTAATCATGGCTCTGCTTGGAAAGAGATGGTTTTTCTAGAAGCACCATGAAAATCCTGAGCTTCCAGAAATGTGAACCTGGTCTCCCAGCTCTCAGCTGAGATATGTGATGAAATACAGGAAATAATTCAGAATGTATTTCATTTTTAACTTCTGGGTATTGGTATCCTCATTGACATGACTTTGGCCTCCAATCTGAGAGAGGCGGGCCTCTCCTGTGCTACTCCCAGCTTGCTTCTGCAGCTGAGGACCCGAGGGGTGGGTCTGCGGCTCCAACCCAGGGCTCTGGAGCTCAGTTCTGACATGCTGGACAGGCAGAGTGGTGACCAGCATGCCATCAAATCTTTGGCACATGGTGTGCATTCAATGAATGGCATTTTCCTCCTCTCTCTTTCTCGTATTGTTTTTTTTTTTTAAAGATTTATTTATTTATTTATTTATTTATACAAGCACTGGGTACAGTCAGAAGAGCGGGAGGGCGAGAGAATTCACCAGAGTCAGAGCAGAGAGCAGAGCAGGCGGACTGACTTAACACACTGCTGAGGGGAGCAGCGGGCGGCAGGAGAGGTCTGCGCGCCATGTGGGACCCTCCCCCAGCAGCCGGGGATCGAACCGGCACTGCAGAGGCTGCGGGCAGCTTTGCAACCCAGCGCTCAGCCGCTGCGCCACCAGGGAGGCCCCTCTTATTTTGTTAAGTCTGTAAGGAAAACTTTTCAATGAGGAGTTCATCGAAACAAAGATGACCAAGTTCAGCAGAGCAGGGCCTTTGAAAGCCCCTACACTCAAGTTTGGGAGTCACAGCTGCTTTTCCAAAATTCAGTCACCACCAACCACTGGGGAGACACTTCTGGGTTTTGCTGTCTTTAGACATCTTGTTCCAATAAGACATTTACTGAGGGCTTACTGAGAGGTTATAAAGACTCAGGAATACCCTGTCTAGTTTGATACACTCTTGGGGTCTCTAGCTGCAGGATGAAGACAAGTAACACCCGGCCGTCAGGTACAGGCCAGAGATGTAGGGGGTGAAAGGATTCACCAGAGACAGAGTGGGGAACAGAACAGGCAGACTGACTGAAATACACTGCTGAGGGGAGCAGCAGGCGAGACAGGAGAGGTCTTCTGCGCCATGTGGGTCACCTCCTTGGCCAGGGATCAAACTCGTGCTGCAATAGCTGTGGATAGCTTCATAGTATTGTGTCTTAGCCCTTGTGCCACCAGGGAGACCCCATCAGGCATGTTTTTCCTCACACTTTCTGGTCTGTCCTGGCTTCCCAGTTGTCCTTACTGCAGGCTCCGGGCACTCAGCCCTCCTGATGGATGGTAAGGGCTCATTTGCAGGCAGAACCCAGCCAGCCCTGAAGTTGGTCTAGGCTGAGCTGCTAAGGAAGGACAATAATTGGACGACCCCACAGAGGTGCTCAGAAGCAAGTGTTAGAGCCAAGCCTCGTAATAGGTTCAGGGAGAATTGAGACATCGCATTCCTTACAGAACCATCATGACCATCCTCTGTAACCAAGGAAAAGGGGACAGAACAGTCTGGAACATTCCAAAATCAATGGGAAATGGAATCATTTGTCTTCTCAGCATAATCTAAGGGTGGCAGCAAATATGGCTTCTCCTGATGGGCTTCAGAGAGGCTGATCCTCCAGACTAGACAAGCCAATTGTTATGAATAATTTATTTTTGTTTGGGAGTTTTATGTCACTTGATCACACAAGAGTTTTATATCATCAGTTGTGGATAAGAGTCACTGTGGGCTTCTAGTAGGATCATAAAGATAAGCCGCAAATATTTCAATAAATAACAAAAGGTGCACCTTGCCAATCTCTGAGCCCCAAGATGAATTGAAAGAGTGGATGGAGGATTTCTCCACCTTGAGGTCCCTCAGCCGCCAGAGTTGGAAAGCCTGCCGAAAGAGGAGACTGAGGTTGAAATGCCACCCAGACCACCTCAGGAATCTCAGCCACCAAGGATTTGATGACACGGGAAACACAATCCTTCATCAAATGGGAAAATGAGCACAGAAACTACATATAAAACACACATAAAGAGAATGGGAGGAGAAACCTAAATGCTGTCTACGCTTTGTGTCGCTGAGTAAGATAATAATTATTTTTCTTCTTTGGCATGAACTCATCATGCCATGTGTTTCTCCCCAATATCTTCCCCTTCTAAAGAGGGGATACTGGGCCTCACAGTCTCCTTCTCACTAAAGAAACCCATGATTTCTTGCGTGTGGTGGTGTAGGTCAAGATGAAATAAGTTTTCAAGCTAAAGAGGAATATAAGTGAATTACTTTAAATTCAAGAATAATACCTGAAATGAAAATAATGTTGTATGCTGATTATTCTGTTATTTATTATAAAAAAACAAAGCAGGTATTGCCTAGTAATGGCAAACAATTGAGGTTTTGGAAACTCTACATTAAGGTATTTTATTTTACATCATTGTTCATTTTTGTACATTCATGCATTCATGTATGCATTTTCAGTTCGGTTATAGTCCCCGTGAAATTCCCACCACCCATTCACCCGTGAACTATCACCATGGTCCCTTGTGCTCTTCCAACCGCTGTTTTGATCCTACTCCCTTCTCCCCCACTGCAGAATGCCTCTGGTTTATAGTTGCCTGTTGATTTTTATTTTTACTTTATTATAATTATTTTTCCCCCTTATCCCTTATTTGGATCCTCTACATTCCACCTATAAGTGAAACCATCTGATATTTTTCTTTTTCTTTCTGGCTTATTTCACTGAGCATGACCCCTTCCAGCTTCATCTATGTTGCTGCAAATGGCATGAGTTTATCTTTTTTGATTACTAAGTAATACTCCATTGTGTGTATATACCACACTAAACCTGGAAGAAAGGAGGAGGAGGGGGAGGGGGAGGGGGAGGGGAGGGGGAGGGAGGGGGAGAGGAGGGGGAGGGGAGGGGGAGGGGGAGGAGGAGGAGGAGGAGGAGGAGAAGAAGAAATGCAGAACTGCAGGTAAAAAAATGATGGCCGAACAGGCCACTTAGGATTAGGAGACCCACATTCAAGCCCTGCCTGGGATCCACGAGGCTCCACTTGGAATCTCTTCCTGATCCAGTCCACTGCCCTTGGTCCCAACACTATGTAGTCATTACAGGTCCTTGGTCACAGTCACCTGAAGACTGAGACCAAAAATGACTATCAGGGCAGCAACCACTGTGCAGCCTACTATATCTGAATTGCTTGCTTCTCATCGAAAAGTTTTCCATATGTATGTAACAGAAAATGAACAAAAATTGAGAGAAGGAGCCTCCCTGGTGGCGCAAGGGGTTAAGACGCAACCTATGAAGCTGTCCGCAACCCCTGCGGCACAAGTTCGATCCCCAGCCAGGAAGGTGACCCACCTGGCACAGCAGACCTCTCCTGTCTCACCCACTGCAGCCCTCAGCAGTGTATTTCAGTCAGTCTGCCCATTCTGTTCCCCACCCTGTCTCTGGTGAATCCTCTCACCCAACCCCCATACCTCTGGTCTGTACCCCAGTTCTTGTATGCATAAATAAATAAATCTTTTTTAAAAATTGAGAGAAAAAAGAGAAGGAAAATGCCATTTGTTGAATGCATACTGTGTGCCAAAAATTCTATTAGAAGCAGGATCTAGCTTATTTAATGCAGCCCTCACCACAACTGAGAGATGATTGCACACTCTCCATTTTACAGATGAGAAAACTGAGCCTCAGAGAGGTTAAATAACTTGTCCAAGATCGCCCAGCTAAATGTGGTCCGAGCACAGATTCAAGTCTGCCGTACCTGGGGCCGTCGTTGCACCAATCCCCATTGTCCCACTGCTGAGAGACTTGCATGTGTGCAGAAAGCAGTGAGTGGCCAGAGGAGGAGGGACTGGTGTTGAGTTGGACTGGATTCCAGGGAGTTGACAACCTTCTCACCAGACCTTTCAGCGTGGAGGAAACGCTTGAGCTCAAAAAAAGGAAGTTAGAGAAGCAAAAGAAGTTAAGGATAAAAAGTGAGTGCACAGGGCAGCGCTGTGGAATTAGCTCCTTGGCTCTGAGTGTTGGGCCACTGCCCACTGCTCCAGAAATGAATCCGTCCTGGCACGGGTGTAAATACGGGTTCCACTGCCTATGAAAGGAACAGGACCAGGTCTTCCATCTCTGCCAGACAGGCAACTCTGGCTGTAATCTAATCGCACCCTTGAAGCCCCAGCCAACAATCTCTTTCCCTCACCCTGTCACAAATGCCATCACATTGCATTACAGATTCCCCCACACGCACCGTCCGGGCAGGACGCTGGGACCTGTCTTGGCCACACATCCACAGATCAGCAGGGTCAGCGCTGGTTCTGCACAGTTCAAAGGCCAAAATCACAGTGAAACCGGAGGGGCCCCATGGGATCAGGCCTGGCTGGCCCAGGAAGGTCAAGGCTGAGGCTTCTCTTGGCCACATCCCGGGTCGCTCATGCTGCACGCCATGAATCTATTCATGGGAAGTTATTAGGGACAAAAATGAAAGAAAAAGAAATCATCCAGGGATGCTTCCTGAAATGCCATGGTTTGGGGGAAAGAAAAAAATTCACCGGATGATCCAGATTCCCAGACTGGACTGCTGTCAGAACAGTGTGCGGTGAACGGCCTGGCGCCCACTAGGCATGGAAGGACCTTTAACTCCCTGGCTCCCTGGGCTGGGAGTCGGCACAACCCTCTTTCCAAGAGTTCAGAAGCCTTTGGAGATCCTGGGATGCAGATCAAGGGAAGCGGGCTTTAGCACGTTGCCTTCATATCGGGCTCCAGGTTTCCATGTAACTTATCTCATTTGCTCCCACAGCAATCTATGAGGGGAGGAGGCCAGTGCCTAATGGGTACAGCAAAGCCAAGGAAGCCACAGTCCTACAAGTAATCAGAGGCCAAGCTGAGGCTAGAGTCAAAGCTGGAAGGATGTGCTCCCATGACCCATCACGGCAAACGGGTAATTCAGACCCCTCTTCATTCCACTAGGGACAAATCCAAAAAACTGCAGAATGAGCAAATCCTTAAAACTAAACACATGGAAGAAATGCATGGATGGTCTCGGGATATATAAAGAAGAGGGATATTGCTGAGCAATATTGTCCGTTACTTTCCCTGGCACATTTAAAATTGGGAGGTTATTAATAGATTCAAAGATAGTAGCAAGGTTATTCTTCTCTTTACAGTAAATATAATAATTATTATTATTACTACCGGTATGACCAGTCCTACATAGTGATCGCTTTGCTTCCAATAGGAAGATTTGTCCCTGAAACATGCAAAGGTGGAATAAACTGAAAGAAAAGTCTGAATGTACTTTCTTTAGAAGTGGTGAGAATTTTGTCTAGAATAACTTTTAAGAAAAAATAAGGAATAAATCCAGTGATTATATATTATCTGCTTACTGCACAAATATTTGTTTTATGCTTCTCATAAAACTGATGCTTATTCAAAGTGAAAAACCCAAAAGCCTCTATAAAGACAGCAGAGAGCTGAGAAAACAATGAATTACCAGCCAGGGTTCCGTGGGGAAGGAAACCCAGGTCAGCTCGTCCCTTCTTGGTGCAGCTTGGAGACCTGGGGGCAGTGGCTAATTCTGCAAAGGGTGAAGGAGAGGCTGAGAGGCACTTCTGACAGCCTCCCAGGGACGCAGGGGCAGGGGTGGAATCTGAGGCCACCGAGAGTCTGGGACTTGCAAGGGCTGGGACTCACAAGGACTGGAACTCCAACGGGTGTTCTCTACAAGTAAGTGTGAACCAAAAGAATGGTCAGTGCAGTGAGTGGAGCTCAGTTTCAAGTATTTGAAAGCCCTGAAATTAGCTGTAAGTAATCCTGGGTTGCTGGCGCCCCAGGAGTCTGGCAGAAGCAAATACAAATCCTTTTAGGAGGAAAATAACAACCTAGGAAACCTCAAATTAACTCTGCAAACAATTTGGCAAATCCAGTGCCCCAAACACAATAGAAAAATAATAAGACATAAAAAGGAGTACTATACAAAGGTGACCGATGATGTAAGAAAATAAAAAAATTTAAATAAATTTAAATAAATTTCAATCAATAAAAACAAGATTGTAACTTATCTAAAAAATAATAAGACACAATATAATCAAAGCAATATTTTTATTGATTTTTTGAGGAAAATATACATTTTTCTCAAATTTTATTGATTTGTCAATGGTTTACATAAGTATATCATTCGTGGAGTACAAAGTCATACGTCCATATGTGTCATATGTCCATAGGTATACATGCCCACTCGCCCTTCACCAAAGCTCCAGGGCCACAGCCCTACATAATACCTTCCTTCCCCCTCTTTCCTTGCCCCCCCATCCCCACTGGTAACTAGTATATTTTTCATAGTCTAAGAATTATTTTTACTATAAAGCAATATTTTTTTAAAATAGAAAAACCAACTAACAATAGACATAGATTCACAGAGGCTCTAAACATTGGAGTGATCAAAGACTTCAAAAGAACTATGCCTATCATGCTCAAGGAAATTTAAAAAATAATTAAAAATAAGAGTGAGACTTTGAACAGAGGACTAAAAATGCTAAAAAAAAGAAACAAGTGGAAATGTTAGCATGAAAAAACAAAATAACTAAGACTATTCAAAGAATAGTTTCAGTTTAAAAAAAATTGGTGACCTATTTTATATCAAAGGGAATTACCAGAATATTGTAGAAAGAACAAAAGTATAGAAAATACAGAAGATAGGGCAAGTGACATAAAGGACACAGTGAGGTTTAACATGTATTATTAAGAGCTCAGGGTGATGAGAGAGAGAATATGGCAGAAGCCAGATTTGAAGAGATGACAGCTGTGAAGTTTCTAAACATGATGAAAGACATCATCATCCACAGATTCAAGAAGCCCTACAGATCCCAAGCAGGATCATAAAAAGAGATCCACACCTAGGCACAATGTTAAAAGAGCTGCTGAAAATCAAAGATGAGGAAAAATCTTAAAAGCAAGCGTAGGTACCACATCTTCTTGATCCAGTCATCTGTTTTTGGGCATTTGGGCTGTTTCCATAGCTTAGCTATTGTAAATAGTGCAGCTATAAATATAGGGGTGCAGGTGCCCTTTTGAATTAATGTTTCTGTGTCCTTTGGGTGGTACATATACATAATGGAATATTACTTAGCAATCAAAAAAGATAAACTCATGCAATTTGCAGCAACATGGATGAAGCTGGAAAGGATCATGCTCAGCAAAATAAGCCAGAAAGAAAAAGAAAAATACCGGATGGTCTCACTCGTAGCAGGAATTTAGAAAACCTAAATAAGGGACATGGAAAAAGACTAATTATAATAAAGTAAAAATCAAAATCAAGCAACTATAAACCAGAGACACACTACAGGGGGTGGGGGGGGGAGTAGGATCAAAACAAGGTGGGTGGGAATTGTATGGGGACTATAACCAAGATAAAAATATATACATTGTGCAAAAATGAAAAATGTTGTAAAAAATATATAAAATAAAAAAAAATAAAATTTTAAAAATTTTAAAAAGCAAGCATGGTGCGTAGGAAAAGATGGATTGCCTTTTAAAATAAAAAGCAGCAGGAATTAGAAAGACATCTAACTTTCCATCAGCAGCACTGGAAGCTGGAAAATAATAAGACTGAATTTTCAATTTGGTGAAAGAACTCATCTCTTAACTATGCTTGTAGGTCTTCCTAATGTACCGTTTACCACCCACTCTTGTTTTTGGTAGCTTTTAGAGCTAGCTATATGATGCTAGTATTTAAGCCACCGCTTTCTCTCTGTACAACACAGATAGTAAAAATTAGTAGAAAATCTATATAACGCTGGCACTTAACAATTGCTCAACAAAACCAAATCCTTGCCCTTTCACTTTTTCTCTCTCCTCCCTGAGATGTCTCAAATAACTATCATTCATCCATTTTGTTTCCTTTCTCTTTTATTTTCCCTTGTATTACTCATGTCCTAACTTGCTGAACCATAGTTATATTATGGTTATAATTTTCTAGAAGGGTCTGCCTTATTCTATCCCTCTGTCCTAAATAGCTATACCTTCTTGGACTCTCCCCTTATTTCCTAGTGTGAAGACCTCCATCCCAGATCCTCTGAGTTGGAGCCCAGTACTCTAGCCACTCCCTCTTCTGAGAGCCCAAACATGGAAGGGGGATGACCATTCCTTTTTCCAACATGATGCATCATAGACTTGACTGCCTTAGAGCTGGAGCCTAATGTGTATGCTAGGAGGCCAAAAGCATAAACTTGGTGCAAACCTAGCACTCCATGCAAACCTAGTATATTTTTCATAGTCTAAGAATTATTTTTGCTGTAAAGAAATTTTTTTTAAGATTTATTTATGCATACAAGAACTGGGGTACAGGCAGAAGTGCAGAGGGATGAGAGGATTCACCAGAGATAGAGTGGGGAACAGAACAGTCAGACTGACTGAAGTACACTGCTGAGGGGAGCAGTGGGTGAGACAGGAGAGCTCTGCTGTGCCATGGGGGTAGCTCTCTGGCAGGTCAGAGATCACACTTGTGCTGCAGAGGCTGTGGATAGCTTCACAGTGTTGTGCTTAACCCTTGTGCCACCAAGGAGGCCCCCCAAAATTTGTTTTTAAAATAGAAAAGTCAACAAACAATAGAAACGGCTCCACAGAGGTCATGCAAACCTATGAGCCATGATTGAATGGCCTACTTCGCACCCAGGATGTGTGGCATGGCTTATGAGAGTCACCGTGGTATATGTGATCTGTTGTTGACTGCAGTGTTATTAAGGGATGCATGTGTATTTCAGACCCAGCCCAAATATCACCTTTCCTGTGACACATTCCTTGACATTCTTAACTGGTTAACACATTTATTGAAGGTCTACTAAAAGATGGTCACTGGTTCACAAGCTAGGGAATGCATCAGTAAAAATAAAACAAAGACAAGAGAACAACATGCAAATCTAGGGCTCCAGGATGGCAGTGGTTCCTCATTCAGTCATATGGCCATATGACACCAGTTAACCCTTCATGAGCACCTATCATGGATCACCGTTGCATTGAGCAAGCAGCTTCAGGGATAAGATATGATGTCTGCTCCCAAGACATGCCCTCTACTGAGGAAAGAACCATTTCAATAAGTACCAAAATAGTGTGATAGAGTTAGGAAGAGGGAGAAACTAACTTGAGCAAAGAAAATACCCATCCTGGGTCCTCTTTTCTTTCTCTACCTCTCCCTATTCTAATCTAATCTACTGCCATACTATTAGATACCATTTGGACACGGATGGTTCCAAACTGCAGCTACAACCCAGATGCATCAACTAAACATCAGACCCAGAAGACAATGACCCATCAGAAACCTGAATAAAAGAATCTTGAACTTAACACATCTAAGAGAGACTGAATTCCTGCCTCCTGTCTCTCTGTGTGTGTGTGTCTCTCTGTCTCTGTCTCTCTCTCTCTCTCTCTCTCTCTCTCTCTCTCTCACACACACACACACACACACACACACACACACACACACACCTGATTTTCTTCAAGCCTTCTCCACCCCAGGAAATTGATAAAGTTTCCTTTTCCTAAGTCAGGCACTTAACTATTACAAGACTATCCTCAATTTTTCTCTTTCTTTTAGCTTCTCCAAATCAACCCATTAGAATGTGAGTGTGCTCCTCTTCCAAAATGATCTTATTTATCAGTTTGAATCTGTTTGTTTATTTTCTCCTGCCAGAATGTTATCATTTTAAATGCACGCTCTTTGTTGTTCCCTTGGTCTTTATTTTATTTCACTGATGTATTCCCTAGCTTATGAACCAGTGACCATGTTTTAGTACACCGTCAATAAATATGCGTTAACCAGTTAAGAATGTCAAGGAACGTGTCACAGGAAAGGTGATATTTGGGCTGGGTCTGAAATACACATGCATCCCTTAATAACACTGCAGTCAACAACAGATCACATAAAACACGGTGACTCTCACAAACCATGCCACACAGCCTGGGTGTGAAGTAAGCCATTCAATCTAGGTTTGTGTAATTACACTCCATGACATTTGAACAAAATCATCTAACAATGCATTTCACGGAAATATCCCTGTTGTTTTGTTTTGATTTATTTTTCCCTACCATCACTCCTTAAAGATTCCCCTCATCCTTTTCTCCCTTTCCCTCCCTCCAAACCTCTCACTGTATTTATTAATTAATTAATATATTAATTTATATTTTACTTTGCAAAATCATCTGTTATA